AAATGAACTTCCAATTAATGATAAAAAAAATGAGATTCGTGTCCTCCTAGTGCTTATACAAACTCATTCAACCGAAAGACTTTTGCATCCGACTGAATTTCTCTCTCTTAACCTGTAGCATCACAGGATTCGCATGCATTACTCCTCAATTAACAGGATAATTGTGTGCACGAACGTCCTGGTACGCAAAGTTTGTGTCATTGGAATTGTAGGCATTCTTCTCAATTCAAAAAACAGATGAACGTACTTAGTCCAATTCTTGTCCCCTTTAGGACGTTTCTCAACCACATAACCAGTAACTGGACCTTTGCGGGGCGGATTCCAGGCAATCGTGACCGAATCATCGGTTGTATCCTCCACAGTGGGCTTATCCATACCGGATGGTGGATCTGTACATCAAGGTAAAAAAAGGTGTCATATAAATTTTTGCCGAATGAATTAATCAAGGATTCACAAAACAGAAAATCACTTCCTTGTAGCTGTGCGTAAATGAAATGGGATAGGCCCAATTAAGGGATGCAATGGAGTGGGAGACTCACCAAATGGATGCTTGGCTTTGATCGCGTGGTCTGTGGTCAACGGCTCGCTAACGCCCATTGCATTTTCGGCCATCACACGGAAATCATATTCTTTGCCCTCTTCTAGGTTACGCACCGTGGCTGTGGTACCATGTAGGAATCCACTCACCTTCTCCCAGCTATGTGTGTGAGGGAGAAATGGACAATGGAAGTATTTCAAATACCAATGGAGTTTAATTATTCAAGTTATACAGAAATCTACTAACCAAAATGAGACAAGTGGATCAAAGTAGTTTGATGAAATATATATGAAAAAATGATAATAAAACCTGGCAAAGTGACACCCAATGGTATAATTTGTTCCAAATAAACTACGCTCAAGAGTATCACTGGTATAAAAAAGGACTGCAACTTCCGAATCAGTGGATATGTAGATACCAAAACTGATCTTTAGACTACGAAGAGTGAAAGCGAAGGAAGCTCACTTGTCCGAATTCTTCGGTTTCTTTTCCAGGACGTAATTTGTAATCGGTTCACCGCCATCATCTTCCGGTGCCTTCCAGTGTAGTGTGATCTCGTCAGCCTTTACATCAGTTGCCTCCAGAGGGCCGGACGGGGCAGCCGGTACATCTGAGATGTNTGTTTATGGGAGCAAATTCAAAGTGAGTTTGTGTCAAGCTAACCACGAACTCTAAATAATACGAGGTGATCGCATCCAATCTAACTCACCGATGACTTCTACTTTGCATGTGGTGGACGTCTGACCTTGGTCATTCATCAAAGTTAACTTGTACTCGCCCGTATCTGCCCGTCGTGCTTTGGGAACTGTGAGCACCTCAGTCGCACCGGGTGACTGTTCTAGCGGACCTCCTGGACCCGGATGTGTGGGAGGTGGCAGAGGTTCGCTTGACTCGATCACATTCTTTCCGTCAGGTTTCACGGTCTTGTCATTCAAAGTCCACACCATTGTTGGTTGTGGATGTCCAAACCAGGCGGCAGCCAGACGCAATTC